TTTTTTTTTTTTTTGAGACAAGAGCCTCAGTTACCTGGGGATTGAGTACCGCATCCTAGCTCACAGAAACCTCAAATTCTTGGGCTCAAGCAATCTTCTTGTCTCAGCTTCCCAAGTAATTGGGACTACAGGTTCTTACCACAATGCCCAGTTAGTTTTTCTCTTGCTCAGGCTGGTCTCAAACTCCTGAGCTCAGGCAATCCACCTGCCTCGACCTCCCAGAGTGCTAGGATTACAGGAGTGAGCCACCTTGCCCAGCCTTCCCCCTTCTCATTTCTTCTGCTGCAAACCATGCAATCTTTTTTTTGATGTTTTTTCATTTTGCATTATAAAATGCATCTCCCATTTAGCATTTCCTCAGTGTCAGAAGATGATGGTCTTCCCCTCTTTCTTGAATTTCTGTTCCTTACATTGCTCACAAGCTGAGTGATGAGATTTCCTTTGTAAGAAAGGTCTGTCTGCACTTTTTCTCCATTCTTCTTCTTATCTAATGAAGCTGTTTACACCTTTAACCTGTGTCATCCAGAAGAGTTTGTAAATCTGTAACATCCACAGTATTGATCACTTCTGTATACTCTTCCCACAAATGTATATTCTAAAATAACTGTCAGTTTTTTCAAATTGAACAGGCTATTTCTTCCATTGACCATTTTAGCCATCTTCCACTGATTGATCCATTTGAGGGCCAAAGAATGTACTAAAGTACACATCCAGTAACCTCTCGCCACGGAATGAGAGGCACATCATCTTCATGTCACATTAATAGGCACATAATTCATATTCCTGAAGTTTCTTCTTTTACCAATCATTTAGAAAGTCCTTTCTAAAAGCCATAACTGTTTCAGATATATTTATTTTCATTTTATGTAATTCCTGAGCTCCAGACATCTTCTGACATCAGAGCAGAACAAGAAAATCATTATGTGGAGGAGATCCAACAGGATCCGGAAGGGCTCTGAGTTTCCTTATCTAGAAAATGAGGAGATGGATTTTAAAGTACCCGTTCAGATCTGATATTTATTAGTCCTCCATCTGTGCTTTTATATATTTCTAGCTCTGTTGTTCACCATCAGATGATTTATAAGTATTCATTGAATGCCTGCTGGGTACCCCTGCTATCCTAAATAGTTTTGATGATTGCTCCAACTCCAATGATTCTCCCTCTTTTGAATGTTTTAGAATTTAGTGATTGTAAACTTATTTGGAAATAAGTCACATTCTGTTTATTGTATATCTTGTGTTGTTATTTATAACTTATTAATAAATTATTAAAGTTATTACATTCTTTATATGTTAACATGCTTTATATTCTCTATAAGACTGTAAACTCAAATCAGACACTATATACTACAGTTTTGTATCTTTACATCTCTACCTACAGTACTTAGTGCAAGTTCATAATAACTGCTAAATGGTCAGTGAATGAATAACGAATGGATATTGCATGTTGTACATAAATACATGAAGAATATTTATAGATTATCATCTATCAAGCAGCAAAGCAGATACTAGGAGATTGAGCTAATTGAATATAACAGTTGGCTTGAAGAAACTTACAAACCCAGTGTGAGGGAAAGACATTTATAATAAAACAATAATAAATGTGTTATTTTATTGGACAGTTTCCTGGACATATAAGAATTATATGTTTTAAAGCCCCAAATTAACTTTATCAGAAATTATAAATTCTTCTTCTGTTTACTATGAATGATTTTTAAAAGCCTTTCTAGACCTTGAACCACTAATATAAATCAGACTAAAATAAGATATGACATAGACAAAATTGTTGAATCTTGTTAAGTTTGAATCTGGGTGATGGTTGTATAGCCAGCCTTTCATTTTTCTATGTTCTTTACTTTTTTTGTGTCTGTACATCTTCATAATAAAAATTAGAAATAAGAGATCACAATTAGTATTAATAGACTCCCCCTCCCCAATCGTGAAATAGAAACTGTGGTTTCAAAGCATGATTTTGTTTTCAGATTGAAGATGCTCAGGTTCAAGACACGGGTCGTTACACTTGTGAAGCAACGAACGTTGCAGGAAAAACTGAGAAAAACTATAATGTCAACATTTGGGGTAGGTGTAAACAGCACGTGATGTAGCCTATGGGCTAATCTTTTATTCTTTGTATCACTTTAAAGATGGCATCCATCCATGTAACTAAAATTGATAATAAGATATATATATATGGACAATCATCGGTACATTTAGATGATGCTGAACTATCCTGAGTATCAGCTTATTTAATTAATTCAAGAGCAATAATAGATCAACTTCCTTATAGTTTTGATGTTGAATGATTTTCTTGTGTCTGAATAACATGCCCTTTAGTTTCCACAGCCAGGATCTTGTAATGACTGTACCTTTTCTGGGAACTAGCCGTGGTTGATCAATTAAAAGTAAGTCAGAAGGTCAAGTTAGGTATGTGAGTCGTGTTTGCATATATAAGAGAGAGAAAATGCCTGCACTTGTGTGATGGGAGATGGGATGACAATGCTGACCAAGGAGAATGCTTTTCTCACTTGAAATTTGCTATTTGTTGCCAGGTAAAGTCATTTATGGGAATCATGACAACTTTCTAGGCTGTGGCTGCCTACTATAAACCACTTCCATTTCCTGCATACTCATTTTTATTTTAAATACTTATTTAAATTCATTCATCACATATATTCCCGCTCTTAATGTTGGTTGTATTTGCTTAAACTCTTCATTGAGATAAAATTTGCCTTTGATTTATAAAAGTGTACTCTAAAACACATTTTATTCTATTTACTCATTTTTTATTCAAAAATATAACTAAGGAGGTGGAAGTGTTTTGATCACATGGATATCCTGTGTAATTCTTAGGTCAGAGCTTTTGGTGATCCCATCACCAGAATAGTGTTCATGGTACCCACTTGGTAAGTTTTTATCCCACATTCATCCTCCTACCCTCCCTCCTTCTTGGTTTCTTTTGTCTGGTATGTAGCTTTGTGCCTGTATTTACCCATCTACTAGCTCCTACTTATTAGTGAGAACAGGTAGTATTTTTCCATTCCTAAGATACTTCACTTAGGATAATGCTCTACAGTTCCCTCTAAGTTGCTGCAAACATTATTTCATTTTTTTTTGTGGCTGAGTAGTACTCCCTGGTATATGTATACATCACATTTTCTGTATCTACTCATGCATTGAAGTTCATCACTTAGGAATATTCCTCATCTTTCCAATAACGAATTGTGTTGGGATAAACATCTGAGTGTACATGTCTTTTGATAAAATGACTTCATTTCCTTTGGGTAGATAACCCAGCAGTAGGATTGCTGGTTCAAATGGTAGGTTTCTGTTTATTCCTTTAGGGAATTTTCATACTGTTTTCCATAAAGGTTGTACTAATTTGCAGTCCCACCAATTGTGTTTAAGCATTCTTTTCTCTCAGCATCTATTATTTTTTGTCTTTTAAATAGTGGCCATTCTGAATAGGGTAAAGTGTCATCTCATTGTAATTTCATTTTGCATTTTCCTAATGATTAGTGAATTTTTTCAAATGTTTATTGGTCATTTTTTAGGTAAATAAACATGAAAGGAAATAATTTGATTCCAATGAAGAATGAATGCTTAAAAAGATTTAAAAGCATACATTGATGTAGAAAATAACTTGTTAATAAATTATTATTATTTAAAAAATCTAGAAGGCAGATTATAAGAAGCACTATTATTTACCCTGTAAAAGGATTAATTTATATTTAGTACATAGGAAATTTATATTTACTATATATTGTTTACTTGTCATTAACTTCTGTTTCTACCACTTTCCCTCCTTTTCTCATCTTACCTCTTCTCTTCCTTCCTCGTTTATTTCAAAGAGGAAAGATATTTAGCCCCCATTATGCATAACACGGCTCAGTTTTATCAAGTAAAGATTTTACAAAAGAGAGAGGCAAGAAAAATGAGGAGTGATGATCAATTAGAAAATGAGGTGAATACATTTTTAATATGTGACATTTGAGGTGTCTGTGGACTATCCATATCAAGTTGT